ATTCTTCGGTGTACGATTGCTTAAATTGATTTTAATAGTAGCCACTAGTGATTGTGCATCTCTTATCCGCGCCACGTTTGGTTAAAGGTATCTTTATGATCACGTAATGTAGAAATTTTTGCACGCGAAAGGTCAACCACGTGGGTCTTTCGCAAAAATTACCTGGTATCGAAATATTCGATTCGATCATCATTAGAAATCTCAACCCGTCCATATTACAACATTGTACGTCCAATTTCAAACACAATTAATAAATGAGCTATGATTTTCAATACATAATTGCACGAAGCTCTCTATCAAACTAATACGAGAATCCATAATTTATAATTCGATTAATTATTTTCATTTTCAAATACATAGAGGCAACTAATAAATCAAATACTTTCTGTTAATTAGCTATTTGCATTTTAGAGTTTGCAAATTTTGGATCAACATTTTATTTGTCGGAGAAAAATTAAATTTTGGATTCGTACGATAGATGGTTATCGATATCGCTGATACATTGATTAATTACCGTCAGAAGTGACAGGGGGAATTACTCGATTCAAATTTGCTCCCTTAACGAAAGACTAATTATCACCTGCATAAGTTCTTCGTTGAATGGTGTCACGATGCAAGACATCCACTTAGGGGCCGCGCATAAGAGTCTCTTGCTCAAGCCAATCGGGGTAAAAGATCAGCGCGCACTAGTTCCTGATTCACAGTTACGTAATTACAGATTTTCCCCATTAGCACCACCCTTAAAAGAGAACCGTTGCCACATCGTGCACACCGCTCGAACATACACTGCCACAGAGATATTTTTGCTCGAGGCAAATTATCAAGAGTTCTTATAATGCAACTAAGTTCTAGGAAGAATTCGAAACGTCAACAGTTATTACAGTAATTATTTTTGAAAAATGGTATTCATATTACAATCTTCTGCATAAAGTACGAGACCATATATGTATTAAAAACAAAAAACGGAAAAAGTATGGAATGTATACTAAATTTTGCCAGGAATAAGGAAAAAAATGTAACAGTATGTCCTTTGGTTACTAAAATATTGAATCGAGGATCGTCCAACAAAGAAGAATATTTCTTCTAATATACAGAATATGATTATACGATAATTTATGCAGAACAAAGGAACAGCGAAGTATGTCAACATAAATTTAACAAAGAACGAGCATACGATACCGATATGTACCAAAGAGAAAATAGGAATACTTCAAAGAGAAGAAACAATGTAAACACTCTGAAAACGTGTTTAGAAAGCAGACTTCATCGTAACAATAAGAACGAAATTGATTCTTGTTTCTCACGTAATATTCACGAGAACCTTGATGGAGCAACAAAGCAAGTGAAATGATTGACATATCGGAATGCAACGCGAACTCTGAATTTACTTTTACCCATGTAACGTACACCTTCTAGTTGCCTGTAATTACTGTTAACGTTCTCTCCGCTGTCACACGGATGGTTCCTCGACTCGATGGTGTCGAAAGACCAGTAAAATTATCGGATAATTGAGATTTTCACCGACGATCGTTCCAACATTCACGGCATTAATAAGGTACAAAAATTGTCGTGATTACTACAAGGGTAAGCGTTACGAAAGATAACAAGTCATTCTCGTCGTTTGCCAATCGATCGATCCGATCTACAACGCTGAAATGATGAATTAATCGCGCGCGTCCGATTGACTGGTAGCGGGAAAGACGTTAAACGCGGTTTAAGTCCTTTGAAGAACGAGACGCTCCATCGGGCGTCTCCTTTTTTCGCCATTTTTTCCCCACCCGCTCGATCGTCGCGATCGCGTTTGCAGATTAATGCAGCATCGGTGACTAATCTGTCGAGGCTGACATTTATGACCGGTGATGAACAATGCTCGATTGAAAGTAATCAGGTGAACTTTCGTAGAATTGACATTTCGTCGCGATTTTAATATCTGGACTTTTTACGATTCCTGTTCCACTCTAACTGCCCGTTGCGCTTATCTCGTCGATCATGTTACTTTATCGGGCTGCACTCATCGTCTCAGAACCTTCCATTAGTCTTTATATGGGCATCCTGTGCTAGGGAAATAATTGAAAAGTGGATTCTTGCGTATCATTCTAGAGTTTGTCATCGCATTTCAGGGCTAACTTGCAAAATTCTTTGAACCTCGTCCTTTCATTCTGTTTTCTTCGCTACAAAGTTGCAGAAAGGAAGTATTTTTTCAAATCTCGACTAAACCAGGTAGCGCTTAGATATCGATTTACCATCACAATATGCGTCCTCAACCTCCTTTCAGCTGCCAAAGAATATATTCTCGGATGATAGATAACAGTTTTTATCTTTTACATCTAACGTCTCCGCGTGAAATGAGAAATTGATTTCCTAGCTGTCGAGCGTATTCGATACACTTTCGTAGTAGTTGTGGAGACGAGTACCAAAAATGGCATCGATTCTAGGCAGAGAGAAAACGCAAAACGAAGGTCAATGATGGGTTCATCGGCGGATGGGGCAATTGACATGGCCGGCAAACAACTTTCTGTTTCTTCGGCTCCACTTGTTTTGCCTCGTGCTACCGTCTCGCTCCTTTATGCTCGACGATCTCGCTTTAAAGTTTAGTGCCTCCCGTACATCCACTTGTCCGTATTCCCTCGTATGCCGTAATACAGCCTTGATGAGAAGGATGTGTGTCTAGCGTCTGAATTCCGCGCGTTCTTTGCTTCGATCATCACCTCGGAGATTTCAATTAGAGACCCAGCACCGGTGGGTGCATCATTTCGTTCGATACAATTGACAATTTCCATTTTTCAATAATACAAACAGTGTTATGAAATTACTCGCGTTAATCGCTGAAAGACTGTACTAGAAAGGGGGCGCGGCATGTCGAGTTCATCGATCAGAAAATCATTTAAACATGTTGTAAAATGTTTCCAAAAATGACTCATCGTCGCTCATGTATTTTAAATCGATGTTTGATAAAGAAGAATTTTGCTGCGTCGTACTATTGCAAAGTTGTTTGATCGATGGGGATTGCAAAATGCGATTTTTATAAACTTGTTGAAATGTGTTCGACCGTGTTATGTTCTATTTATATATAATTTCATGGAAATAAGTGAAAGTATGAAAAATTATTGACAACCAAGCAATGAATAACAAAAACAATTTTCTGCTTTGTAGTCAAAGACATAATCATACTTTATGGGAATTTATCAAATAAATAAAAAACGATGATAAATAGAGAATGCAGTACTCCAAAATTAAGAATTGATTTCGTTTTCCAATGTTGTAAAATAAATTATCGAAACAGGATACATCCTTAACTTTTGCATATTGTGATCGTAAGAATTCATTTATCAAATAAACGTTCGACTTTCTATGAATATTAATCTGACAAACTTCACTTCGATGTCAAATTAAGAATATTACTGTCCGAGTTTGATCGTCCTACGTTAGTATGCGTCACTCGTCAGCATCTTTATCGTCTGAAAGTTCGAGGAATGACTCAAGAATCGTAAACCTGATATCAAAAAGTTTCCATATTACCAGAAGATGGCCTTCGGTTTTCGCCATAAACGGTACTCTTTAATAACCGGGTGTCTCAGTGGCCGGTTTATAAAAATTAATACTAGCACCGAGGCGATAAAGTCAGATTACGTCCTTTGAGAATTGCTGCATAACGAAATGTTGTATGACGACCTCTCGATTTTGCAACACGAACGCGAAACATGCAACAAATGCGTAAATCAAGGTAACGTCTTCGGTATTTCTTTTCGTGCACCCGATTACAAAACTTCTTGGCTCTCATCTCCCTAATTAGCAAACTACAGCATATCATTTTCTGTTAACAAATTAGACACTTTATATAATAGCTAATGTGACTGTAATGTTTACGTGTCGCACATTTATTATATGTTATGGCCAAAATTCGTGCTCCTCGTTAAAAACAATATACAATAGTCTAATCTAGATTACAAAGGCAATCTTAAATGTTTGGAACGAATGAAGAAAAGAATGTTTGACATACAACTTAACAAGATTAATCCTTTTATATATCTAAGATATTATTTCTGAAGAGGTCTACGAATGCTGACCTAAATTCATTATTTAATCTATCTGATCTATTCACATCTGTTGACGTCCAAAGAGAATCTCAACACGACAGGTACTCGAGTACTTGGAATCCCTTACGTAACGAGTGACAGCAATTTCACTTCGTTGATGTAGCGTTTCGATGACCGCCTGCGCGATCCTCGAGGATCATTTTCGCAGCGTGTATCATCGATCGAACGTCGCGACGGCCGATTTCGAAACGATCCCACCGTGGCTTGGCCAAATTGACCAATGAATTCGAGGATGATCCGTGCTCTTTCGTAAAACGAATAATAAACACTCGATCGTTCTTGTTTTTCGCCCAGGGCCTTGGCAATTATTTCGTTTATCGCTCCCGACGTTTCAAGCCGGGATATAACTTCGTTTACGTAATAGTTGTAATAATCTTCCATGCAACCTTCAACCTTTCCCCGAAAAGGATCCGCGGGGATCTTCGTTCGGTAATTCGTGACCGGCGAGATGAGACTCGTGAGACACACGTATTCCGATTCGCTTTGTTGCGTCACTGAATTTTTAATTAGAATAATCATTCCTACCTGGTAGACGAGGCGACACGTGGTGAAATCCTCGAGTCCAACACACTTTTCACTGAAACACATTTAAACAGATTCGATTAGAAATTATTTTTGTGACAAAATGATTTTTAGGGACAATAGAATTATCGTGAACATAACTCGAAGGATCATAATAAGATTTGTGGAAAGAGTTAACCTTCTATAATTCTATGTATATTTAGCTTTGGAAAAAATCATACAATACTCGACTGTTGATATTAAATAGCAAAAAGAAACTGCTTCGTGAATATAGTAACACAGTGTAATAAATAACATTTGGTAAAAATAAATGGAAACAGTCATAAGAAGTTTCTTTCCATGTACAGTGAATCATATAGTGTAGAAATACGAGTGGGAGTAATGTGTGCACATATGAGAGGCGTGCAAAATAGACATACGTTCGAGAACCCGAAGAGAAGAGAAGCACTTGGTCGAATCGAAGAATGTCGTGAAAATTCGAGCAGTTTTCAAGCCTTAGGAGATCCTTTCGAAATCAGAGACCTTGAGGTACTAACAGGACTCGAAGGAACCGTAAACTCTCGAGCCTCGAGCCGACGTCACCCGATGTTTTCCTGTTCGACCCGAACTTTTCGGATCCCGTACACCTCTATTACGATATATACGAGTTTTTGTTGTTTTCACCCGGAAGATCGCCGACCTCTGGCTCACGATACCTCTTCAGGTCGTAAACGAACAACGATATGCGGTGGCAATACAGTCCACGCGCCAACGGCAATAAAACTAGCAATAAAAATAGTAACAGCATCAGTGACAATAATTCCAATGCAATTACTAGATTGCACCATTGCCCATTGTGCTCTCCCTGTTACTTCCATTGCTCAACATACGCATAAATGTAATTTATATTAGCGTTAAAACGCTAGACGTTTAATACTCGGTGTTCTACATTTTTCAGGGTATATCGTAATTGCATGTTTTCTCATACGATCTTCTTCGTTGACCTGAATCTTTCGAGAGTCGTAAAACATTTCGCCTCGTTGCGTTGATATGTTAAATTCTCGAAAAATTCAGTATGATTCAGGCGATAGGAACGACCACGATGTTTCAACTCTGTTTATTCATAGGAGTTTGTACCATATCGAGAAAATATCGTTTCGTCGAGCGATGAAACCTGTCGTTGAATGTCATTTGCATCCTCGCGGACGCCTGATCGCGGCGCGTAGCAAAAAGCCTGCGATTTCTACCGTTCCGATGGAACAGAAGCGATCTTTGTTATGTTAATTAGGAAAAGTACGCGGACCTTTTGTGTCCGGTCGACAATAGTCCTCTTTTTCCCTGCATTCCTCCTCCGTTTCGCGGTAGTTGCACGTTATTACGTGGGCGAAGTGCACCAGGCGCCCGCGATCGTTTCGCTCACGTTTTGCCTAAGGAAACTTTCTCTACAGTCGTGGCTTCTTTTCGCGCATCGCGATCTGTGACAGAAGCCTGCCCTGCTTAATTCATCGACACGCGTCCCGAGAAATTCGCAGCAGCGCGGAACGTGGTTTCCCGCGAGCTGCACTGTCGCGAAACAATCATCCTCGAACTGTTTCAACGCCATTTTCCATGCATACGAACCCTAAGATACCACACTGAAGTCTCAACGGTGTAAAATATTTCTTCTTGCGTTCGTATCACACTCAGAATGAAAATTATATCCTCGAATTTTCATTTCTGTGCACCCACATCTTATTCACAGTTCGCCATTTTTTAACGTTAGATTTACGAAGCCATTTCACTAGTTTTATTTATGTTGAACTTGATTAATGTAACGATATGAATCTGCATCCTAATTGAAAGAAATATATGTAGAATCAATGTCCATAAAACTAGTGTTAAGAAAAGAATAACACAAGTAACAACGTGAACTTCGAATGGTATTATTGTATCAAAAAATGTGCTATTCTAGAATTAAGTCCCTGAGACTCCAGTGAAGTACTGTTTATAATTTCCAACAAGATTTTCAACATACTTGGTCTCCAGTAGCATTTTACATTAATTGTGCGATGGTATTGTTAAGTGCCATCGAGATATGACGAGTTAATCAGATGCTGCAAGAAAAGTATTAATATGCTAAATTCGCTTCACGCTGAAATGCCCATAATTATGCAAAAGACAATCATAACCGTGGTATAATAAGCCAGGATTGAAGTGCTGGCACTAAGTGTCACAGGATTTTATGTTCCGTAGATAAAAATTGAGAAAAGAATTTTTCAATCACACGTATGACATCAAAGTTTAGGAATTTTAAACAATTTGACACGACGGACTTGGAGAAGCATCGATAGGGAAATTTGTTCATTGATATTAGAAAGTCGAAGCTTCGAGCATAAAATTCCTCTGATTCTTTCCGTTTTTGCTCATTCGTAACCCTTTTAAAGTGCTCCTCTAATTCTGTCAAGGAATTTAGTAATTGCACTTTCCAGCTACATTGTTTCATATATGGAAACGAACAGTTAGCGAAAGTCGGATCTCATTAGATCGTTTAACGTTTTTCTCCGACCCATTCATTACAGAATCGAGAATCGTCATGTAAAGATCACAGATACATTATAATGCAAGTATAATATATATATATGAAAACGAAAAAAATCAAAGTTTCACGAATATTATTAATAGTCTAATAATTACTTATAATCATCAGGTAATTACACGTTTATCGTAACGCTCGAAACAAGGGTACTACAACTCGATACCTCGAGTTAATTAAGTTTAATTTATACTCGCGTGTTCCACTCCTAACTCTTCTTTCATCGCGCTAGTGAAAATGATTTTCCTTTTCCCGTGGTCGTTTTCGTGTCTACGCGAGTTGCGACAAACCCTAATTGATGCACTTCGGTGTTTCTTTCTTCGTTTAACAGGCAAAAGCATTAGCAGCGCGTGAAGCGAGATAATTAGAAAGCCGTATCTCGACGACGTTGCTCGCGCTTTATTATTTAGTGCCAAAGACGCAACCTGCGTCTTTCCGTTATGCAACATAGTATTTTCACACCCATCGTAGTTAACTACTGCCGTTCGTCCATTAAACGTCGCTCGTGAAAGAATCTGAGACTGACCACTGACAAATTAGTTAGCAATAACGCAATAAAGATTTCTGAAGTTGAGGCGATTCGAAATCAATTAAGGTTGAAAGGAACTCCATTGTTGCGCAACGTGGTATCGCAAATCGATCGAAACATTAATTAGAGATTACAGTGATCCACTGTATAATCATCGTGTATCTAAGGCGTAACTTGGATTTCCCAATCAGTGATTCTTCCATCGAAACGATTCTTTCCGAGCTAATTTTTGCAAGTAGCGAACTCGGTAGCCAGAAGTAATTGCGACGGCTGCTTCTTTGTTGCGACACAACTTTGCACCTCTGGCTCCGCGAATTGCCGACCCGTAGAAAACTCCTGTCACATTGGTTTCTCATTATGACCTGAGAGGTCTTGCCTCTCGATGCATAGCTTCGCCACTTTCTCTAGGTGCAAACAAAACGAGGAAATCAGGGACTTAGAACGGTATGCAAAGCACCGGTGCTCAACCGTCATTTTTCGGTTGCACCTAAACTCTTGTAAGAACCAAAAATATCTATGTGGAAATAGAAATATATTTATCTATATTTACCTGTACTTTTTTTAAGTTTCTCTATTTCAATGCAATTTTCAAGATTTGTTTCAAGTTCGGTGATGGGAGAGAACAGACTCGTCAAAATGATAATTTTCACAAGTTATACCGGTATTTATTTCGATTTTCGATATTATAAATATTTCTTTGTGGGATGAAGATTTTATAACAAAACGGTTCCTCGATCGAGAGTCGTAATCAATGATTTTTCAGCGATCCAATCAACAAGAATGTGTAACGAGTATGTAAAATGAACGGAAACACGACACGTTGGTTTGTTTTGAAACCATTTATGAGAACGATCATTGTACTCTCCGGTTATAGAGTCGTGAGCGACATGGTAACCTTATAATAGCCTCGATAGAACCAGTTTTGCTATAACTAGATGCTTCCTACTTAATATTCACTTCTGTTGCACACCGACAATACAAGTTATTTTTAGTCATTGATACCATTATGGTTTGAGATACATTATTTTGAGATTTGAAAGAGAAAGAACACTTTGATTCTCAGAGGAGGATGAAAACCAGCGGCTAGAAAGTACTTTAGTTTTCCTGTAATTATGCCAACAGAAGTCGACGCGAGTATCAACTATTTTCTGAGAACTATAAAGCATTGATCGAAGATACATGCAATTTCCCACGTTGGGTTACGTTAGCCAGAGTTGGCAACAATTTTGCTGAACCCCCTTTTCGAAACCAAGGATTTATTTATCCGCCTCTTCTAAAAAAATATACAACAAAACCGTGAGATCTCAAAATTTCTCAAGAAATTGTAACCTTGCGATCTGTATCGCGTGTTTCGCAGACCCAAGCGTCGTGACACCACTTATACATCAGAAGCCTTTCACATACTGGCGAAAGACACTAAGGAGAATATCTTCTCCCCATAGCCGTGCGATCCTTCTATATAAATTATACGTTTAAAGGTCACTGGACGTTTCTTCGAGCCAGAACCATCATTCGTACCGCGTTCATGATGTCGCAAACGGATAAGACGGTTTTAATTTCTGGACAACGATGCTTCCACTCCGGTCTCCCCTGATTTATGAAGCTCGTCGAGCCAACGAATGATAATTGCGGTCGATGGTTGCATTATTACACTACGTTTGAACCGAGGCGTTGAATGGAACGTTGTTCATTACGAAGACGAATACGTAGAAGACGCAGGGTATCGTGATAAACGCGTTTCGATGATCTGAAATTTCGATCTTCCGTCGAACCGATTTTAAATAAGATATTTGTCGCGGTTAGCGTAAGGTAAATAATATATACGGTTCTCGCGTGAAACTAATTAGAGATGCGAATCGAACGATAATCATGATACGAATTAGCATCGTGAAATTAAATTTATGCGCGAAGTATGATGCGGGTGGCTATGTTTGGATGAGAAATAGAAAGCGCTCTACAATACTCGTTCCACCGAAAGGCGTACAATGAAAATTTGGAAATAATTTAATAAGATGTTTGTTAGGAGATTTCTAGTTGTGCGACGTGAGCACACGTTGATCAATGAGTATCGTAGAGTGTATTTCACACGAATGGACCTTTCACGATCACCGGTACATCATACGATGTGCCACGTGGTCGATACAAGTTATGTAAGATGTTCGTGGGTGAGGCGTGAGATAATCCCACGAAGACAATCTTCGGTATATTATAATCGATTACGCGGTACTCCGTGGCTTAATTTACTTCGAAAGTATCTTATTGTTGGTCGAGGTCAACCATTCCATTTCTGTAGTTCTCAATGAAAGTGATGTAGATAAGTAGAAACGATTTACATCAACAAGCGATTAATATTCATTTTAAAAAAAGGGACGTTAACAATTTATCGAACATATTATTTAAAAACAACTCAATTGATTTTAATATATTTTCTTTTATAGCGACTCTTGTGGATTGCCACAATAGTGGCAGTGCTCTCCACCCACCATGCGCAAGCATCCAGTGAGAGAAGCAAAAGAGCGATAGAAACAAACTCACCGTTTCAAGGCTATGAATACAAACCGCCAAATCAGATATTTACACTACCAACCCGGTAAGAATCAGTTGCGCAATTTAATATAATAAAATTATCGAATCTGTTATACGGAAGTTCCTAAATGTAAAGAAAATTATAAACAGGAAAACAGTATGTTTTAAAAGACGCGAGCGCGAAGATGATTTACATATTAATCTTTCCATTATTATAGACCACCGGATCGGCCAACACCTAGACCACCCGTCACAGGATATCCAAGTTATCCAACTCCTGGCCAGGAATTAACGTATACACCAAGACCGCCAACGTACAGACCACCGGTAACACAATCTACCGGTTATACTTATCCAGGGCCTACACGACCACCTCTACCACCTGGACCACCTGGACCACCTGGCCCACCTGGACCACCCATAACAGGGTACCCGGTCCCAACGCCACCTACACCAACACCACGGCCCCCCGGACCACCCGGACCACCGACAACAGGGTACACGTACCCAACGCCACCCAGACCAACACCACGGCCACCTGGTCCACCAGGACCTCCTGGACCACCCACAACAGGGTACACGTACCCAACACCACCCAGACCAACACCACGGCCACCTGGTCCACCCGGACCACCCACAACAGGGTATACGTACCCATCGCCACCCAGGCCAACACCACGACCACCCGGACCACCCGGACCACCCACAACAGGGTATACGTACCCAACACCACCCAGACCAACACCAGGGCCACCTGGACCACCCCGACCACCTGGCCCACCCTCAACAGGGTACACGTATCCAACGCCACCCAGACCACCAACACCGCCCATACCAACGCCACGGCCACCTGGACCACCTGGACCACCTGGTCCACCATCAACAGGGTACACGTATCCAACGCCACCCAGACCACCAACACCGCCGATACCAACACCTCGGCCACCCGGACCACCTGGACCACCCACAACAGGGTACACGTACCCAACGCCACCCAGACCAACACCACGGCCACCCGGACCACCTGGACCGCCGTCAACAGGTTACACGTACCCAACGCCACCCAGACCCCCAACACCGCCGATACCAACTCGGCCGACGCCTCGACCTCCTGGACCACCGTCAGAACCAACAGGATATACGTACCCAATTCCAACAAAAACACTACCACCGCCTACGAGACCGCCATACCAACCTCCTCCGCCACAGCCACCTAGACCAACACCTCCACCATACGGACCACCTCCGCCACAACCACCAAGACCTCCAAGTCCTCCACCATACGTACCGCCTCCTCCACCACAGCCACCTAGACCAACTCCTCCGCCATACGTTCCGCCTCCTCCGCAGCCACCGAGACCACCAACACCTCCACCATACGGACCTCCTCCACCACAGCCACCTAGACCTCCAACTCCTCCGCCATACGGACCTCCTCCGCCACAGCCACCTAGGCCACCAACTCCTCCACCGTACGGACCTCCTCCGCCACAGCCACCAAGGCCCCCAACTCCGCCACCGTACGTACCTCCTTCTCCTCCGCAGCCACCAAGGCCTCCAACACCTCCACCATACGTACCCCCTTCTCCTCCGCAACCACCTAGACCTCCAACACCACCACCATACGTACCTCCTCCTCCACAGCCACCACGACCACCAACTCCACCTCGTCCTCCGACACCGCCACCATATTTACCTCCGTCTCCCCCACAGCCACCTAGACCTCCAACACCTCCACAGCCACCAAGACCTCCAACTCCACCACAACCACCAAGACCCCCAACTCCGCCACCATACGGACCTCCTCCTCCGCAACCACCGAGGCCACCAACACCTCCGCCATACGTACCTCCATCCCCTCCACAACCACCTAGACCTCCAACACCACCCCCATACGGGCCTCCACCGCAGCCACCACGACCACCAACTCCACCTCGTCCTCCGACACCGCCACCATATTTACCTCCATCCCCTCCACAACCACCCAGACCTCCAACACCACCCCCATACGGGCCTCCACCACAGCCGCCACGACCACCAACTCCACCTCGCCCTCCGACACCGCCACCATATTTACCTCCATCTCCCCCACAACCACCTAAACCTCCAACACCACCACGACCTCCAACTCCTCCACCATACGGACCTCCTCCTCCACAGCCACCAAGACCTCCGACACCTCCACCATACATACCACCGTCTCCGCCACAGCCACCTAGGCCTCCAAGTCCTCCGCCATACGTACCTCCTTCTCCACCACAGCCACCAAGACCACCAACACCTCCACCATACAGACCTCCTCCTCCACAGCCACCAAGGCCTCCGACGCCTCCGCCATATTTACCTCCGTCTCCCCCACAGCCACCGCGACCACCAACTCCACCACCATACGTGCCTCCTTCTCCACCACAGCCACCCAGACCACCAACTCCACCACCATACGTGCCTCCTTCTCCACCACAGCCACCCAGACCACCAACTCCACCACCATACGTGCCTCCTTCTCCACCACAGCCACCTAGACCACCAACTCCACCACCATATTTACCTCCGTCTCCTCCGCAGCCACCGCGACCACCAACACCTCCACCATACGGGCCTCCTCCTCCACAACCACCAAGACCTCCTACACCTCCACCATACGTTCCTCCATCTCCACCACATCCACCTAGACCAACTCCTCCGCCATACGGACCTCCTCCCCCGCAACCACCAAGGCCTCCAACACCTCCGCCATACGGGCCTCCTCCCCCGCAACCACCTAGACCTCCAACTCGCCCACCGTATGGACCTCCAACGGAACCAAATACTTATCTTCCACCGGATCGTACTACTACTGGACGTGTCACTACCGGAAGGCCTACAACCTCTTATGTCACTACCGGACGGCCTACAACCTCTTACGTCACTACCGGAAGGCCTACAACGTCCTATATCACTCCTTCGCGCGGTACTACACCACGACCTACGCCACCCATAGTAACTTTCGTACCATCAACGTATGGACCCACGACACACGGTCCATTCACGAGTCCATCTTCTTATCTTCCACCGATAGATGGTCCAAAACCAAGCACGCGACCACCACCTTATCTCCCACCCTCAACCCCTTCGACGCCGCGAGTTACTGTCACGCCCCCGCCACCACCGACGCCTATTTACACACTTGTACCAACCTCGACCATCTACACACCACCGCCAACTGGCAATCCTGCGTCTCCACCTACTTTGCCACCAACGACGAAGAGACCTTTGGGTTACTTCTACGAGGTGCCAGAAAATCCGCTCGAGTTACCACCCTTCGTGCGATGAAATAGAGAACATGCGATTTAAACGAACTGACAGTCGCAAACTTCACGTTCACTTTTGTAATTTTTTATATATATATATGTGTGTGTATAGAATAAGAGCTATTTATGGATCCACGATAGGAGATCAAATTGATGAGGTTGCAATTGGTATTGTTGAATCACTAGCGAGAGAAGGAAAAAGAGGGCGTCATCCTTGTCAGTTACTTGTATCAAGTGCATGTATCTAGGACGTTTTGGTAAACATTGTAGCGAATGTGCGAAACGAATAAAGATTTTTCGAAAAATTGATCCTTTGAAGTATCTTCCAATAAATTGTTTCGAACTCGTGTGTCACAGAACGATCGATGTACAGTGTATACAAAATGCAAGAAAATTATAAATAATTTTGTAACGCGAGTATCACTCGTTTGTATATGTAACGCATGCATACATGAAAGTAAATATAATTTGTATAAAATGTATTCGAAATGTATCCTATATCTTTCCACTTCGCAGAAATGCTTCTCTTAAATCACAGTGCACTAGATTTCTATTTTGCACCAGTTCGAGTTATTAATATTCCATAACAACACTCGACAGAGAGAGTCCATTGCGTTAGGCGATTAACTTCGGTTGCACGTTTGATCTTTTCAACTCAACGTTCACCGAAGAGACGCGCCGAAAAGAACGAATGCGAGAAATCAAACACCTGATTCGCCAGAGGGTTTGACGAGTCACCTTTCCGCCTACGACGTCCTCTCCACTCATGAATATTGATGATTATGAAATACGGTTTTGCATAAAACGAGGCTCCCAAATGACACATGTCTCTCAAACAGACAATGCATATAGCAAACATTTTACTTTCGTAAGAAAACGAACATCCTGTCAAGATTTATCGGATGGAATAATATTTTTACACGAGTGTTTTGTCTCCAGTCGAAAGAATAATTCATTAAACGGAAGATTGCAATTGTCCTTGTCTTCCACGTCGAAGAAGACGGATCGACGATAATAGTTCATTTGTTGAGTCAGTCACCGTGACACAGTGACATTGACATTCTCTGCGGATATACAATGATATTTGACTCTAGGCGTAGTAAGTAGCCCATAACCTAGCTCCTACTACCATAACGAGCCTCCCCCACGTACAAAGAAATTTTCTACGTTCGTGATAGAATCACCAGTGAAAACTCCGTCGCGCGAAATGAGAGCTCGTTAGTTGCATTTGGAGCTTCGAAAGAATACAATCTCCCCGTTACTGCAAAATAGAAATCGTAAAAAAATTAACAAACAGCCAGAAGCTCGATGTCTCGATTCGTGATCAATTTTCCCGTGTAATCGTGCCCGCATTGACAAATTCTGCTCAAAATGTTGAGTATCTGTCATTGAACGTTCTCCAGCTTCTCTCGTATGAATCGTAATCGTTTTAATATTTCCACTGTGATTTGTAACATCGACGAAGAAGATCGTGCTTTCGTTATAAATAAATTCCCGAGTGTGTCGACGATTCGAGTATGCTAAACGTGACCAATGAATAATTATAAAGGACAGGGGCCAACAGATCCCACGCGAGGACATGCTTGAAACCGAACGCAGAACTGCGATTAGTACGTCTCAACTTGGACTTTACTCCGATCACGGTGATAGATACAACAGAAGTCGATACGGTTCCGTCACCAGGAAATTCGCGATAGGAGTTATGGTGGTGGTTGCAGTGATATTAGTGAGTATCTCACCAGACATTCAAATTTTAGAGCATGTTGCTATAAAATGTTATAAATCATCGATAAAAATCCTGGGCCACTGTGATTCATTTTGATTATTTATAGAAACAGGTACACTGTTGCAAAGGCTGACCATTTATGAACTTTGTTTCACACGAAAATCCATTATGCAATGAGACATTGTTAAACATTGAACGAAATAAAATTTAAAGCAATGGTTCTGTTTCTTTTGTTTAAAGCACAATTGATAAGAAAAGTGTAACATTTACACACTTTTTCTGAATTAAGAACAACATAATAATTTATGAATTCATTCATGGTACATTAATTTAAAAATGCAATGGACTATGGAAGGTTAACACGAAACATGAGCATCCAACTAGCAGCGTCATACTCGTTTTCCACGCAAATATTTACATACTACTTACCTACATAACACGTTATTTGCATGACCGGGGGACCAGTTTCTGCTTTTACTTTGCGACATTAGAAAAACTGTTCATCTCGCGAAGCTTTATCAACTTGCTTTGTGTACTTCGTGTTGCCACATCCCTTTGGTTCAACGACTTGGTTGGCGTGACCAAGGAACGTTTGATCGTTAACAATTTACCAGTTTCTATCTCACGTTCATGTCCTGCAACATACATTAGTCAGAGGTCAGTAAAATTTTAACGAAATCCCAGCTACGCGTTTGGCAATTTCGCTTGTAATTAACGATAGCTCAAAGCATGAACGAATAAGTGCAATCGAGATAACGGGTAATCAGCTTCACTCGAGCCAAATAATTAATATTTAAAACATCAGGGATGCTTCTAAAATAATTACATTTTATTCGATTACTGACTACAAAGCAAATTTTTTTTTGTAAAATAATGCGCACACATAATCATGATACGGAGACCACACGATTGTGATCTAGGAACGCGCGAGTTAATTTGAATTGGATTAGTTTAATAATCCAGAAAAGAGAATTAATATATTGGATGATATCTCAAAAATAAAAAAAATATTATTAAAATATGACACGTTACTATAAAGTGTTAGAATTAGTTGAAATTCGAGCAGTTTTGACAACCAAAGTCTAACAATGGGAAGGACGATATTCAGTCTGATGGCGATAATGGTTTCGTTAAAAGTAAAGCTTTTATCGCAACGGTCTCTTAATGAGACGCCATTGTGAAGAACAATAGGCGCAATTACGTCTCTCACGAGTTTTCTCCCATGATTAATGTAACAGGTACAGTGTGGATGTTAAAAATCAGAATTTCACCGCAAACCTCTGTATACCCCGTCCATGCATGGCGAACCAAGCGTCAAACGAGATTTCTGCGCGCTTCACATATAGGGCGTTAACTGTGCCTTGACACGAATTAGATCGCGGTATTGGAGCACGGTTTCATTGAATAATTAATGAATGAAGACGAAAAAAATGATAAACGCGTTTGCAAATATCCCAACGATTTGAATTCTTAACAATCACTTTCTAAACACGGTGCAATATATTCTAAAACGCTATGCAGATGCAAAACGTATGCAAATGTTAATGCATTTTTTATTGAGAATCATTTAATTAGAATCGTTGCTTTCGAACTATCATTATCATTAAATCTCAAATGTTAGGTTCTGCATATAACTTCCAATTGTGTAGAAATAAAATGCCTCCATAGAAATTGAGGCAGATATTTACGTAGCAGTCAATTAATATGTTTTATAGTTTTTAAGTGCTGTTTATTAATTAGTGACGAATGTACGTCAGATTGAAATTATCGTGGGTCGAGTTTTTTATTACACTTTTTTATAGATGTAGGAAAGGACGCCCGAAAAAACCTTCAAAGAGTATCAAGGATCGCTTCTCTTCCGTTATCGAGAAATTTATTCGTAAAAATGCAGGAATGCCAAAACAGCGTCGCGAAGGCGGAGCATGTCTGTCTACGAAACCTTTTTTGTACTCTATCCGGGTTCATTCAATTATACAAAGTATCTCATTTAAAAGAAGCAACGACATCACAAATATTTCATAAGCAACTCGAGTAATATCAAAGGACGTGTATATCGTAAAAAAATTTTTTTGTCTGAACGTTATTAGGTTGGATTTGAAGAGATTGTATTCACCATTCGAGGATGTAAATTCAGATTAATTTTTCGAATTGCAGGTGGGGATATTTTTATACGACTTCACGTCTGCCACGTCGTTGAACAGTAAAGTCAACCAGGAAACAAAGCACATGTATATATTACAAAATGCTCTTAAGAAACCGTCGAACGTCACAAGGAGATTCTTCAGTTCTACACTTTTACCTGAAATGAACAGAAGTAATCCCATTTACGTACAAGATCGTTCTGACAATGAAAACCGCGGGAATCTTTTACTGTACGATCAGACTGACGATCAAAAAGTATCCGATGCCGAGCTTAGATCACAAAATTTGAATAACTTCAAATTGCGAAAGAGAGTCCTGAAATCTGTCGAAAACAACATGAACGAACCAGCCGCGGAGGGCAAACAGTTGTTCGATAATCATGCTGTAGCTTATCGGATAAGGCAGAGGTAAAGTAACGTTTACTTATGTTTTAAATAAAATGGTACTAATAATTCTATGATACTTTAAATTATGTGCGAGTTTTTAAAGAATCAGTTTAATTCATATAGAATGAAATGAATATGCAATGAAATGACTAAAATAAATTATTTATGCACACTTCATTCTACAGGTATTATTCGATATTTTGTAATGGAATCGATTGCTTATACGAATCTGTTTCGATAAGAATATGATTTCGAAATTAAACTCAGCTTCCATTTATCGATGAATAAAATTCGTCAACAACTTTAAAATTAAAATTTAACGACACGTTTGCTAACATGAGATACGATATGTTTATTTAAAAATGGACTCTGCTTCCTGATCCATAAATTAAAAAATTTAATGAAATCTTAGTTTCTCCCGTCTCGTTTTGGTATACAGAATCACCCTCTACGGTGATCATCCACCTGTAGATAATCATCCTGTATGCACGTAAGGCTCATATTTCATGTAAATTTATAGAAACTTAGGTTTCAAATTTCTCGCGTCGAGACTTTCATGAAACGTAATCGCAATCGAGATTATTCTACACCCAGACGCGATGTTCTACGTAAAATCTGCACAAAGAAATGTTTGAAAGGTCAGTTACCGTTTGAACAGGTACAAATATCCGGGTTCGAACGAGGACGATGAAAGCTCGGAGGAGAATCGGCCAACTCCATTTCATTGGGAGCTGAAAACGCCCCAACCGACTTCTTTCAAACGATTGAAATATCCTCAGCTCTCTCAATACAGATATCCACAATCGTCGAGAAACATACAGGATATTATTAAGTATCTGACGAACGACGCTGAGATACCGAACAGAGGCATCAAGTTCACCGGTGTCTACGTGAACCCGAAAAAGTACGATTTTTCTCCCGAGATTGGGGAGATGATGTCCAACAGCGACAGGTCGGAAGAAGAAGAAAGTTCTTATTCGTTCAACGAAGACCCGTTGTATCAGTATAAACCGAAACATCCCGCGGATGTCAATCTGCTGGCTCCGTCCAACTTCAGGTATGGAAGGAATTTATGGAAATTTTCTGACCTTTCAATTCATTATCAGTTACAATCGAAGGATATTTAGAAACTAGCACGACGTCTGAAACACGACGTTTGGAACATTCCGTCTGGAATTTTTACGAACAGGACTATTTAATTGATTTTTATTTCGTTTTTAAAATTAAATAAATGTATTCTTCTAGATTCTCGCCAACAGGGTTTCATAGATACAGTCCTTACTACGATACGTACGGTCGACCAGTAAATTACGTGAAACAGCCTTCGTCGGACGTGGAATCGCAATATGACCCAGCCCCTTACGCGAGCAACTACCAGAAGAAACGTAAACCAAAACCGTTCAGTGTCATGTTGGACATTTATCCGATCACCGACGTCATGGAACAAAATAAGAAGACCACGAGACCGAAACAAGTTCCTATGGACGATTACGACACGAGAAGGCCAATGGTGTTCAACAGGGGCCAGAAATTTTACGTACCACCCCCGCAAACGATGGTCGGTACGTCGAATCAAGCCGCGATGGACGAAGAGGAAAGACAACAGATGATATTTCATTTGAATCTGTATCCGAGAAAGAAAAATAAAATGAACAGGTGAGATTCGAATTTAGATTAGACCAGAGACAAAATATTGGTATCTTGTTTTTTATATTATAAAATCCCCGAATTCACTGAATGCAAAAATAATCGATTTGGTTTCTTCCAATGTCGGGTTACGTGGATTCTCTACCCACGCTATTCGCATTTTCGCTTACGTAACCACGGGTCTCGTTTTCGCGACTGATAGATTTATTCGTAGTGGGTCGTATGTAAATCGTGGGATCGTTACAATGGCGCCCGTGCCACCGTTCGATGTTAGATTTAACTAGAAAAGTACCAGGAAGATCGGGGCAAAACCATGAGACTTTCACCGAACGATCCGCGTGTGTGTGCAAACGACATCGATTCGATAAAAAAATCGAACGAAACGTTCCAAGTCTGGCTAAAGACGGCCACGCGAAATGTCTCTGACTAAATTCGTATCATGGAAAACGGCTCGAGAAAGGTCCATCGTAAATTCCGATCGATGACCGTGTTGCTTCATAACACGTATGCTTTATTAACTGCAAAGGACAGTCTGCCTTTATGGTTTGAATAAGCGCGTATCGTAAACAACATAATGCAGAAGCAGGTTTATTCGTCGATAACTATATCTTAATCGTCGACTGATTAAAACTTTATGATAATATTCTATAACGTTATTTTTTCAAATGTCACATTACCAAATATTATTAGAATTCTACAGACGTCTTTTCGATAACTTTTATGGAATTTTTTTGCATATAGATCTCGTTAACTTCTGCATTATTTTGTTTGGTGAATCTTTTTTATCCTAGCTTGAAAAATAAAACCACGATCGATCCTAGTTTCTAGAGCCAACGAAATCGTATATTCAAGACGCAACTTTCGTTTTCAGGCACGACATAATTCACAGGTCGGAATCGATGCCTCCCCAAGAACGACAGCAGTTTATGCACAAAGTATGGTCACCGCTGGAAACGATCGCTAAACACTTGGCAGTGGAACAATCGAAATTCATGCAAAGCGAAGGTCCGTTCGGATTGGCAACGAACCGCTACCAGGAAACTCCTCTGGATAACAAAGAAGAAGAAACGAAATACCAGCAAGTGAACGTTTCTTCGGGGCCCAGTGGCGACCACACAGAAGAAACAGTCACTGTTCCGTCTAACCATAAATTGAGCGTCGAGGATGATTACGCTAGCACCGAAAAGTACGATATCGAAGCTCAGAGAATCGTTCGGACTACCACAGAGGATCAGAAAGAGAGTCAGAAAGAAGATTGTAATACCACTGTAATTCCAAGCGAGACGATCGTTAACGAGACGAAAAACGACGATGTTACCAAAGATATTGATAGCATCGAAGGATTCAAACGTTTCAGCGACAGTGTCTCTAAAACCCATTAGGTCAAAAGCAGAGACAGGCAAAATTGTTATTTAAATTTTCAATCGAAGAAACGTCATAAATAAATGGCTCTACGCTGGTTTTATCCATTATTTACTATTCGAATGTTGTCCACCTCTGGTACATGTTTTCGAAAGTATCTGAGCAGAGAAAGTATCAAAAAATGTTAGAGTAAACGAAAATGGTTACGAAATTACTCGTCCCGGAGGCTCAATTTTATGTTTCTTCTTTTTTACTGGTAATGATTCTTCTAAACTGAAATCAGCAAGGACAGTCGTAAACGTTTTTGTCCACTGAGACTATGAATTATAATATAATCTCTAATTTGAATGAAAATAAAAGTTTCAATTATAGAATGAAATATCTGAACACATAAAAATGTGAACGTTCGTATAAATTGCAATACGTTGATTTTATTTAATTTCTGTTATTCGAGTAAAATTTTGCCCAACTCTGATCGAAAGTGGTTTCCCACGACGAAGAGCGTAACGAACGATAATGTAATGAGACGAATGATATTCTGATTGTAATGGTTTCAGGCCTTTTGAACATTATAGTTTCAAAGCGATAACGATTGCTGCCTTTCAAGGATGATGAACGTTCATCGTGATAGAAATTGCCTGGTCTGACAGTCTCTTCAGAAGATCTTCGTATTTCCCAGTTTACCGTTCCAAGAGATCAAATTATCTCCCAAGCTCCACCTCGCCTTGACATTTCCGTCGAGGGCGTTCGAGAATCTTCCAAGATCTCGACTCGTGTAATCGTAAGATATTCGTCGATCGCGCGATTGCTTCATAGGCCACGATACGTAGACTGCAAAAATGGTACTCGTCGCGTATGCGAATAGAAAATCTATAAACACTAAAACCTATCGTCGACTATTTTCTGCCGAATTAATTCAGATTACTGTAAAACTCCAGCATCGATCGTTTCTTTGTTTTCTTGAATATGTCCAAGAAGATATGAAAACGAAACTTTTGAAACGATAATTATAAATCGTTTGTTATTCTAACTGTTATATAAATAAAAACCCGAGAATTAGGGTGACGTACGAACACACCGGAGAAACTGAAAATTACCTCTCTATTACACGAATTTATTTCCGAGAAAATAGGATAAAATGGACTTACTTGCATACTCGGGAGCTGGAAGAAAAATTTCATTAAACTTGGCACTTTTTTTCGCAACGTTTATCGACGTCATTTTGGATCACGAATCGTGTAGAAGCGTCATCTTAGTTATAAACAAATGTACAGATTTATTTCGTCCTTAAATACTATATATATTACAATAGAACACGCGTATATCTGCGATAATATAGCGATCGTTTGTGAGTAGAATTCGTGTACGGTTCAAGAAATATACAATTCGCGCGAGTTAGTCCACTTAAACTAAATAATGCTGTCTTATGCGCATCGCCGTATTTTGGCACGATTATTTCAATCTTACATTATAGCACCATTCGTCGACTAACGTTTCACGATGACACCGCGCGTGGTACATCGAGCATCTATGGTACAATTCGTCGATCACGTTCCAGCCTTTTCCCTCTTTTCACTCGAAATTGTTCATTATTCGTAAATCGACCGAAACATCACGCGTGATTTCAACGCATCGTTCACTTTTCTTATAATAAAACTCACCGGTATCGATGGCATTCCACCACTCTAAAACTTCTAGAGTGAAATATCTAGCGCGTTACTCTTAATACTTATCCGTTTGAAGCCTTAACGCGTTAAAATAGTCATGTAGTAGCTCTAGGAGGCATTGTCAGTTGAATAGTCTCGAAAAGATTGTCGAATTTAAAATTAGTTGTACTGTTTCTTTGATTCTCATTCGTGTTCGTTATTGTTAAGTCGTGCAGATTCTATTTCTTCGTCGATACTGCTGCAATTTACATTAACCATAAATTTCACACGGGAATATTTCATTCTGCATACTTCTGTTTTGAAAAATGCATTCGGTAATATGTCTTATTGCTGAGCAACACATTCATTTCATCATCAGTTGATCAGTTGATCAGTTGTGTTTCTCAAATCATAGACTTTTTTACGACATAGATCCGAGAGTACTTGGATGATAGAGCGTCGTATCTGCCCCCCATTCGTAAGGACCTTCGTGAGGTCCTAGCGAAACCATAGTTCCCGGCCCCAAAGTTGTGTGTGAAGTAGCGTTCACCATTCCTGGACCGGAAGACACGTAGCTCAAAGGCGGACGTGGCTGATCGCGCAAACGAGCGTGTTTCACCTGTCGTTTGTACCTGAAGAGAATTTTTATTCCATGATAATTTACTTTCTAAAAAATTGCTATTTTATTATTACTCGTTACGTAATAGATATGCAAATTATTATGTTGATGCAAAAGTGTTACTTATTTCTGCTCGTCAAAAACCAAACTTTCTTCGTACGTAAAATTTTCTACCATCTTCCATCTACAATTTTGATGAAAATATTCTATCCATGAGCATCGTCGATATTATTTTGTAATTTTTAGACTCCAAATTAAACTTACTTGTTAGTAAATTCTTAAAAGTGTAAATCTTCTTGAATCATCTTCTTTAATTTAATTCTAATAAACGAACCATTTATGGGAAGAAGTTAAAATTTCATGTCAACCAGTATCACGTTGAACAGTATAATAATAAGTCACGTGAACTTACTTGGCGTGCATACAGCAAAGAGCACAACTGGAGACCACCGTAGCAACCCCAACGAGCACCGCGATCGCTAGGACCCACATCTGCGTCATCGAGGCGTCAGCGCGAGCAACCGTGGCTGCACAATGCTGCACCTTCTCCACGTGGTAGGTTCTGTAAACCTTCTTCAGCTCCTCGTTCTTCTGATCGATGAGGAGAGCCTTCATCTCGTCCAGATCGTACGCCTCCTTTCCCACCATTTGGAAACAGGAACTGGTTGAGGAGAAGTCCAACGAATTGTCCTCCTTCGAGTAGAATTGGGTGTCGTAGACGTTGACGCTGATTGGCAGAGACAGAGCCTGTTGCACGGCCTTTTCAAAGTCCTCCAGCGTCTTCCTGACCTCGACTGGCGGCTTGGAGAACACGAACTTCAGCATGTCTCTATCGCGCAGCAAGAAAATCCTCAAAGTGATGTTGGTCTCCCTGCCTGGCGTCATGGAATTGTTGGCGGAGACGATGATCTCCATGTAGCCATCGGCGTAGCTGGACATGGAGCCCGTGGTCCTCAGCTCGCCGGTCTGAGGATTCAAGGCTAGATGAGACGGAATCTCGCGTTTCGACATGGAAGGATCCACCAGAGACACGAACGATGCTTTCCCCATGCTGTAGTTAATGGGGAGAGCGTCAGAGTCGACGTCGAAGGCTTCTAGCGTGATGAGACTAGTGTCGATCGGAACGTTCAACCGAACGCCCAAAGTTACGTTCTCCTTTTTGAACTTGGGCTTGTTGTCGTCGATGTCCAGGACTCTGATGAGCACCTGCCTCTCGGATGGATCTTGTCTATTGTACGGTTTCGGAACTATGTCAGACTTCTTGACCGTGTAGGGAAAACACTTGACTGTCAACAAGTGACGATCGACTACCTCGCGATCGAGACGACCGTTGGATTTGATCACGGCTGAGTTATTTCCGAGACGCTCCACGACGAACAATCCAGCCTCGTTCCCGTAAACGATCGAGTAGTCGATCATCCCGTTCTCGCCGATATCTTCGTCGATCGCTTCGATCGCCCCAACCTTGGTGCCTATTGGTTTCTCTTCGAAGATAGTCAGCTCTATCGGTGGACTGTCCAAGTTCCTTTTAAAATGAGGCTTGTGATCGTCAATGTCGTTCACGATAACTTGGAGCACTCTGGTTGCCTGTTGAGGAGGACTCCCTAGGTCCTGAGCAACTAATATTAACGTGTAGCTATCCTTTGCTTCACGATCGAGCAACTTTCGCGTAGTGATCAGGCCAGTTTCGCTATTTATCTTAAAGGCGCTCGCGTCTTTACCGAAATTTCCGTCCTCCAAGAACTTGAAGGTGATCTTCCCGTTTGGCAAGTTCGGGTCGTCCGGATCAGAAGCTACCACTTGGAACACCGGGCTACCGATCGTTGAATTTTCAGCTACGTGAGCCACCTCTTCGAGCGTCGGCCTGATGAACAGGGGAACACCATCGTTGCTGACCACGTCGCCGATGTACAACGTCAAAATCACGTCGGAATACATTTCTGGCTCTCCGCCATCTTGAGCCCTGATTCGCATGATGTACGGTTCCGTTCTACCTTTTCCTGTCAGAGCTCGAGCGGAATAAATCTCTCCGGTTGTGTGGTTTATGTTGAACAACCCTGAAATTGCAATTTCAGACGCGTTCGAAATGGAATATTTATTTATTTCGTAAAATGTATTTAACGACTTTATTCGTTACGATGATGAACAAAGAAATCAAAAATATACAAATTTAAGCACGCGAGTAGAGAAAGCAAAGTGAAACGAGACGATAAGGCGAGCAAGAGAAAGGAAAAATTGAAAACTGTTTAAGAGAGCGTCATAAAATAAGGCGTTTAAATAATGTTCTAATAATTCTGATTTTCTAAATCTGGAAAGAAAGTTTTATAATATTAATTGTGATTTTGTTGTCGGTGATTTAGGTACGTTTTAATCAAGCCAGAACTCAGAGCTCAGATATGATCTTTAGTGGATAAAGAATTAGTAATTCGAGTATTTACCAAAATTAAATACTGACCGTTTGCTTCACCTTCGTCGATGATTTCGAAGTGAATCGTTCCTCCCTCTCCTTCGTCTGGATCCGTGGCAGTGATGTTCACTATACTGACGCCTGCTACAGCATTTTCTGGTATCACGGCTGTGTAGGATTCTTGCTCGAAGGTTGGAGAGTTGTCGTTAACGTCTAGGACATCGACTGTCACCAAAGCTCTAGTGCTTCTCTGTTCTGCACCACCCTGAGGCATGTCCGATGCAACCACGTAAAAACGTAGAACCGACTGTTTCTCTCTGTCGAGCGTCGTGTTGGTAGCAATCTGTAACAATTAGTAGCAAGTTTGTAACAACTCGAAACATTTAAAAGGTACGGTTCTTTACCTGGATATTTCCTGTTATCGGTTCCACCTCGAACATATTGGCGTTTTCACCGGTCAGGGAATATCTCACTTCGCCGTATCCTCTTTTAACCTCTTGCTCCGTGTTGGAACTATCCATATCCGTGGCTTTGACGTTCAAGACAACTTTTAAAGGTTTCTCTGATTCCAATACCGAAATTTTGTAATCCTTTTGAGTGAAGGTTGGACTGTTGTCGTTGGTGTCCTGGACTTCGACGATCACGTTCGCTTCGGACATCTTTCGCGTTATTTCGTAGTCCCTGGCCAGAGCTCTCACTTTGAAACGAATAAACTGAAAGGAAGAAATCAACTTTCACAAAGTAGATCCTTTATAATCTCGAATCTCGATAGTACCTTTTGATTCAGGGCTTCGTAGTCCAATCTCTTGCTCAAGACAACGTTCCCGCTTTGAACACCGACGTTAACGTATCCCTCGTCGTCGTCCTCCCTCACCAGTTCGAATCTTTGCACCAGATATCCGGTGGTAGGTTCTTTGGCTGATAACATCAGCAAAGTTGTTCCAAGAGGTTGTTCCTCCGGCACGGTGATCCGGATTGTCGGATTGTTGGGTGACCATCCAGGATTCGTGAACGTCGGATTGTCGTCGCTGTAAGCTTGAATGTACACGGTCACCTCGACCTTTGTAATTTGTTTCTCTTTGTCCACGACAGCGTTTAGATCCTGGACTTGAACCGTAAGGATTATCACCGCAGCCACTTGGTAATCCAACACGCGGTTCACCGTTATTAATCCAGAGGTAGAGTTTATGCGAAACGCTGATTTGTAATCGTAGGGTGTTGCAGTCTTGAAAGCTACGCCAGTTTTGTCGACAGCCCTTATGGGTTCCACCAAAGAGTACTCCAAGTAAGCATCCGAGTCTGGGTCAGTTGCTACTACTTTTAGCACAGGCTCGCCTGTTCGATTCGTTAAAGTAGATTACTATACGCTTTAGGAATTACACTTGAACGAAATTCGAAAGGCCGAAGCATTAATGATTTACCAATTGCAGCTCTCTCCGACACGTAAACCAGATACGTTGACTCGTTGAACACCGGTGGTTTATTATTTACGTCGATCATGTTCACTATGACGGTAGTGGTAGCGGTTTCCTTGACAGGTGTGCCTGAATCGATGGCGTAAACTATCACTTCGTATTTATCACCGCCGGTTTCTAGATCTAAACGAGCATCCGGGGAGACCGTGATGATACCAGAACTGAAATATTGAAACCCAATTATACCGATTAGATTTTCGATAATAGGATAAACTGCAAAGATTTAACGGGGTTTTCGAGTACCTAGAGTCTATGACAAAATTGTCTTTAGCACCAGAAGCAATGTGGTACTGCAACAAGTTGTCCCTTCCGTCGGGATCGTTGGCCATGACTCTGATGACTTCCGTTCCTGGCGAAGCGTTCTCCAGCAGTCTGGCTCGATAGGTGCTGGGACCCGGCAGATTAGACTTATAGTTTCCGCGGAAAATAGGTTTTTGGTTGCCAGGCACCCCCACTCTGACGAGGAGTTTCGCCTCGGCGTACAATGGCGGCGTACCAGCGTCCGTAGCTCGAATTACCAGCTCGTAAATCCCCCTTTCGGTGTCCCCTGAACGCACTGGCGTCGCCATTATTACCTCTCCGGTGTCTGTGTTTATCTACGAAACGACGTTGAATAAAGAGAACGAAGACCGAACGTAAGGATGGTCTCTTCTTCCGCGTACCTTGAAAACACCGTTCGTCATACTGTTGTGCGAATTTATCGAGTACGTCACTTTGCCATTCCCCTGCATAGGACCATCAACGTCCGTGGCTCTGACGAACATCTGCGGATCGAAACTGGTCGCACCCTCCCGCACCGTCCTCGTGTATTCGTTCTGCTCGAACACTGGTGCATTGTCGTTAACATCCTCCAGCTCTATCAAGATGTTTACAGCCGACACTCTTCCGCCACCGTCCTTTGCCTCCATCGTCAGCGAGTACGACTTCTGCGCTTCGTAATCCAAAGCTTTCGCGACCGTGATTCCGCCAGTTTTCGAGTTGGTTTTGAACTTATCGGCCCCAAAACCACGCAACGTGTAGGTCAGTTCACCGAACGAACCACTGTCGTAATCTTTGGCGAAAACGTCAGCGAACAGAGTCCCTGTTTCTGCGTCCTCGGGCACCGAGAGTTTGTACACCGACTGAGAGAACTCCGGACTGTGGTCGTTCGCGTCCATCAGTTGTATGTGAACCCTGCTAGTGGCTACCTGTATTTTGATTAAGTAATATTTTATTCGGTTAACGAATTCAGTTTGTAGGTTTGTAGAAAATCGGTACCACTTCGTTCGCAACGAGCGCGATAACTTCGAAGTCGAGCTCCCTCTTCGCTGGGTCATCCACGTCGTAGTCCAACACGCTGACGTTCGTAGCTTTGACCACGATTGGCACTCGACCTTGAGCCTCCTCGGGGCTCACGGTAAAGGCTTTGCTAATACCAGGATACTCCGGCACGTCTCTCAGAGCCAACGTGTACTTTGCATTCTCGCCAACGTCGCCGTCGCTTACGATCATGTTGAGCCCTGACAATTGAGTTCTGTCGTTACGAGACTACCGAACGTTTCTTTTAAAAATTATTTCTAGTCAGGAAGGGATTTTAAGCTAAGCTTGTAAAAGTATTAACAGTAAAATGTTTTTGGGATTAATAAACGTCATTTCTGAAGGATTGAAATGCCTGTGTTCACCTGGCAAGGGTGTGTCCCTCCCAATGTCTTCCGAAATCTTAATGCTAAAGTATTTCTCGTTGAAAACGGGCACGAGGTCATCGACATCCGTGACAACGATGGTCACGATGGAGGTCGCCGTGTCTGCCGGAATCTCGTTGTTGATGAGCTCCGTCGCCTTTACGTGAAAGGTGTAAATCCCTCCGTTCTGAAGTATTCTGGGGTCCTCTCTGTCGAGGGAAACGTTGGTGGTGACAATTTTTCCAAGCGTCACGTCGCCCTCGCGCGACATCTCGAGGTCGAAGTGACCCTCGTCGTCGTCCTCCAGAGTCAGAAGCAAAGCTCTCGGCTCTCCCGTGTCGCCGTCGCGTGCTCTCACTGTCAGGATCACGTGATTAGGCGCCGTGTTCTCGGGAAGCGCGGCGCTGTACGGCGCGTTCAGAAACACGGGTGGCTGATCCTGAAAACAATACTTCCGTGATCGAAACAGTAAACCAAACTCCTGGCAAACGGAGTTCAACAGCTTCCTGGAATTAAAATTGAGAATTCCAACGTCCACGATAACGTTCATCGTATTTCATTTTTAGTTGCCTCGCGGTTTGAAATATTCATCAAATTCCGCGGAACAAATTAACAACCAGCAAACCGTTAGTTTACCGGCGGATTTCGAGAATTATAACGCGAACACGTTTGCAGGAAAAACAAGTTACGATGTACCGTTCCGGTGAAAGTTATATCGTAAAGACTGGCATAGTCAGATGTTCGAGAACGGAGTCACTGGGTAACGCATAACTTCCCAGGCTGTATTATCATAAACGATCTTGTTAACCAATACGAAATGATCGAGATGGATTTACAGTTACCGCGGTTACGGTCGAGACCCACTTACTTGGACGTCGAGAACGTCGACAGCTACGGTTGCTCTAGCCTGTAATCTCTTCGTCACTTCGCTGGCACCGTCCACCGCCACTAGATTGATCAAATATGAATTTCTTCTTTCGTAGTCCAGCGGTTTCATGAGTGTTATCTGCACGTCGTATTTCCCCTCTGCCAACTAAACGATTGCCCATTTCAATCAGAGATTCCAAAAGCAACTAATAAATGTTTTGACCCAAACAATTATGAAGAATGATGTTATAACTGTGGTAAATGGAAGTTCCGGTAAATATCGACGATGTGAAGCTTACGACGTGTAGACGTTTAGATCAAGATTTGAAAGAATAAAAAATTGTCAATATTTGTGGCGTCCCTCATGCACTTTGTGACTGATTATCTCTAACGAGTGAAACAAATATTCAATACCATGACACGTTAGGAGTTTAAATATATAATAATGCGACGTTAAAAAATGTTTAACGCCTACAAGTGCGAAGAAGCGGTACCTTGTCCGTGGATACGCTGAAAACATCGCAAACATCGTCGTCCCGCGACGCAGGAACACATTCCACGTGAACATCCGCGTTTACGCCACCGTCGCGATCGGTGATTACGATCGTGCCAGGAGGAACTAACAGGCCACCCACGTGTGCGCTTTCCGGCACCCTTGCAGCGTATGGCCTGCCAAGATACACCGGCGGATTATCGTTTTCATCCAGCACGGCTATCTCGCGACGAAGGGACACGGTGTTGGGCTCCGATCCCGCGATACCTTCGTCTAGAAATATATTCCCCAATGAGTTCGAGGAATCGGGCATCTATGGTCTTTAAACTTGTCATTTTTTTAATTCAAGTAGACAAAGTCTCAACCCTCGACACCCTGTCAATCAGCACTTTTATTTTTAAAAAAAATGACAAACAAATTTTGATAGACTCGAATGGACTTAGGGATCCCTTTTTATTCCAGTGAGTGTCTCTTCTAACACATGATTTTTAAATTTTCCTGGAAACCTGAATGGCGAATCTTTGCACGAAGCTATTTTGGCGATACTGAAAGAACTGTAAGGTTCACGATGTCATTCATTTGCTAGTTATTTTTAATTTTGAGTGCATTAAACAAAGCACAAGCGATAGAAAAGGCTATTTTCTGCAATAATTTCATCCAATTGCAGTTATCATATAACATAGTTACACATATGCACGAGTATTTTCGAACGACAAATGAAATGCAAAGAACATGCGACGATAATTGGTGGTGTGATATTAATTATTAATGAGGAGGGAATACAATAGAAGGGTGTGAATCGTATTTTACAATACTTGACATTTCAGTGCCATTGTTCATTAAATGAGTATTATTAATTTCCTCGCCTCTGTAACAAGACATCATTTACATAACGAGCACTAAAAATATCGATAGTTAATTATTTATTTTGCAAGTATATACAAAAATTAATTCCTTTCGAGCTGCGTCGCCCTTATCAAAAATTTCGAGTATTAAAAGTTCATCATTTTTTCGCAATTGTATTGCATAATTTGGAGATATTTTTTTCTGACGACTGTTACGTAATTTTATGGAATGTTCGAACGGTTACGACACGATAATGATTGGTTAAAAAGTAAGATAACAATTAAAATTTTTGTTAAACGCTAATCTATTATCTAGAAGCACGTGCATTATGCTGCGAATCTACTTTTCCGCGCGCTGAAGTGTAAATAATATTTATGTAACGCTAGTGAAAGCAATGTTGTTACAAGCGTGGAATTATTTACGACAGGAACGTATTATTTTTTATGCCGTACGTTACTAAAATTAAAAACACGAGAAATCTCCGGTTGCATCATCCTTACTGTCCACGCACGGCAGGTCATACGTTCGAGTATATTAATTAAAATTCGGTTACGTAAAGAAATGGTCACTAGTCCATCGGAACATCGTGCTCGCAGGTCACGTGTGTGCACGTTCCGTCTAATGCCCTAGATATCGCCGTTTATCCATTGATATTCCACCGTAACAGTGTAACGGAACACCAATAAAAGCAGTGTAGTTACCCGTTATGCTGATGATCACTTCGATCAGGTCTTGCGTCTCCCTATCCAGCGCCTTTCTCAGCACGACGACACCGCTATCCCGATTCACGGTGAAGTACTCTCCGCTGATGGAGTAGTGCAACCTAGAGCCCTCTGGATCTTCTCCTTGAAGCGTGTAAACAGGTGCACCTGGCGGCGTACCCTCTGACACGGCCAACCTGGCCATGTCCCCGCCTTGCACGAAATGCGGTGCTCTGTTTATCACCTGACCCCATGACGAAGACCACGTGGAGAATGCGAGAAATAAAATCGTCCACATCGTCACCTGCGCGCCAACCAAGCAAACGAGTTAACAAAAATTACTACTAACCCTGAAATACTATAGTGGAGTGCCATAATGACGAATAAGGGGCTGAGGGGTTCGAACTGATTCAAATTTTTTTATTCGAGATTTTTAAATTTTTTATTAGAATCTTACTTTCGCTTTTTCTAGATCAGCCACTCATTTTGGGCACTGAGTTATTTATAGCTTCATAAAAATTAAAAATATAACTGTCTGTGTTCTATAGCAATTGGTTGATAATAATTTCATGCCGATAAACTCTGGTTTTATTTAATTTCATGATTATAGTAGCTTCCCAGTATAGTGTAGTATTGCAAAGTTAAGTAGTAAATACTATAATAGATTTTATATAATTTTCACGAGCCAGCAAATATTTAAAATTTGTATTTAAATAAGAAAGTTGTCTGTCTTTACGTGCAGACTAACGTAAAAGTAAGTTAGGTGTCATTTAACTCAGGATGGCTGCAATTAGGCCTAATATGTACGCAGTTCCGTAATTGCTGCAAATAAAGCAGGCATCAACAGTAATTATAGCTCTGTAACGGGAGAGATAAAATATAAAAAGATAGAAACATTGTACGTTGCAAGAGACGAGAATAGTAGGGTGATAGACACATTAGAACTTTCATTAAGGCAAATTGGAACGTCACAATTAAGAAAAAGTTTTGCGAATAAAAGTACGCTCTCTCTTGCGTGACAAACGAACACTTCCTATACAACCGTCCGACACGATTCCATTCACTTCCGGCCATCGAAGCTGCCGTATCTTGAACAAGAGTTGTACTAAGCAGTACAAGTAGGGGGGGGCACTTGACGAAGAGATAGCCGCAGTTTTGCCAAAATAATTATACATCTAGTATACCAACTGGTGTAGAACGAAAACATCCTTTCGATTTTGCTTTAGAAATTCTGCCTTCTGAACGAACAGACTTCAGGAATATTGAACAAAGAAAAGAAAATTGTAAGTCCCTTTCTACGAGATGTCTCGAGTCGATCGATTCAAAATGGCGCTGTTACTAGAAAATGTATCTTACTATTATTTAAAAAACATTGAACCTATTAAGTTCGAAATGGTTTCAAGCGAACCCAGAAGTTAAACACCTAGAGTTAACACTCAGATCAGTTGTTATCCTAAAAAATGGCAAAAGCAGAGAAGGAAGGATAACGCTACGCAAGAATCAAGAGGCATTCGAACCGAGTATCCGCACATTTGTTACGCGGACACGGGATCAACGTTCACGTCTGATGGAAAAATGCGAGGCACAGACCGCAAATGAGTAGGCAGGGAAGAAATTACTAAACTGTGCGGAGGATGCATCGATCTATCGAAGCCACTCTGTACCACCCATATAAAACGACTTCGTCGAGCCGCGTTCTTTATCCGCGCTAGTGAAAAATGGCTGCGGGCGAACCGCGTGGCTGTACGTTGCAACCGCCGCGTACGGTCTCTGAATGACTTCCACCGGTTAAGTGCGGTCAGTGAAAAGCCGTTAGAAATCAGATTCCATTTCAGGAGTTCTCGGAACTCTCGTCGCGATCCGTAAATTGAATTGTCCTGTTACACGCTCGACGGACATTCGTCTCTGTCGCTTTTCTTCCCAAAACTTTTTCACCTTCGGTTCAATAGAAGCTGTCAAACATGGGCTCGATACTGTCACGTTCTGTAATTTTTATTGCAATAGTAATTGAGATGAAACAGACACTAGGATTCCTACAGTCCAAATCTGGAGGATGTCATATGATTAGAAAATCTGAATTTTAAGTATTCATTTTTTCTAAGAATGGACAAAATTTGAAAACAATTCTCGGTCAAATTGGCTGAATGTGTAATATAGCCCTTGAAATGCACATAAAAAAGTCTTAATGGCTTAAAAGATAATAAAGACAAATTAAAATGACGTTCATTCTTCATTTCATTTTTTATTCAGTAGATCATAAACTATAATATATGCGAAAATTAGCAAATTTGACCTGGAATTTCTTTATCCATTCGAAAAGAAAGTTCTTATGGTAGAACTAATTATTTAAAAATTTCCTAATCAAGTTTTGACTTTCACGCAACTATCTATAGATTTATATAAATATAGTAAATACTATGAACCTAATTGAGAGGATTTCGAAAGCCGTCAGACAGTAAATTGCTCGATTCGTTTTTTTGAAATGTAAATTGAGATATTTGAATTTTAAATCGTACGTTTTTGCAACCGCCAAGGGGCACTAATGTTTCGCAGTAGTTTCAAGATCAAGTCGTGAGATTTTATGGATCAGCGAATATCGCTTATTAGCGTTGCGCAGTTCTGTTACGATTCTCGGTAACTTTCTAGTAGAGCCTCTAGACAAACACAGAACAAAAGTCTTGCACAACATCATCGGCCGAGATAAACGTAGTACGCGCTTCGCGTTATTTTCCCTCCGTCATAACTCTCACTCGAGACCGCAGTTTGTACGGAATCAAAGCCGCTCGACCGATAACGTTTCCCTGTTATAATTAAACCGACTGCAACAATATTTAGACCGTGTTATCTCGAAATGTAGACAAGTATTTAGAGCAAATCGTGAGCGAGATTTCACATTGTGCGTTAATCGAGAACCGTTTAGCACTAAATTAGATTTGCATCAATCATGTTCGTTCGTTTGGTTAATGAATACGTGTATTAGCATAATACGTTTCTTTTCCTCCCAACTATTATACGTTCAAAAATAATAAATGCTATTCCAAGCATTTTCTCCTAATTTATTACAACGTATCGAATAATTTTGTTTCGCGAACAGAACAAAGTAAATGAACCTATTTCTGTTTTTAATGTTTGAGATTATATATTACTGACAAGGAACACAAAGTTTTTGTAACGAAATAATTTGTTTTCAATAAATAGTTTAGCATGTAATTGTAAACGATTTAAGGAAGTTATATATTGGGATGGTAGGAAAGAAGCTGTGACTTCCACTGAATTCGAAAAGGAGTATTTAATCTCGAATTTTGTGGTGATGTCGTAGAACCGCGCTGAAAACACAGCGTGAGAACTAATCATTCCGTCAAGAGGCACGAGCAATTAGAGAGAGACAATTCCACGGCAATTTCTCGGTGTCTTCGTGCATGGCACGGTTGACTTCCGTATTCCAAAGGTTGTTATCAGCTGTCGTCTTCAGGAAACGCGATTCTTAATCAAGTTGATCCGCCAGGAATCAGCTGGCACGATACGGTTTCGCTAAAGATTCTGCGTATATCCGGAATTCAGTTACTATTATACAGGAAATTTTAATGGGAGATTCTAGAGGCCAAAATAAGACAAAAATCAACTATACTAATTTGTTGATTGAGGCTTCGTTAAAAAGTTATAGAAACATTTCCAGCCACACAGAACATTTTCGGTAAGAAATTTTTTTCTAGAAAATGCGTAGGAATTCGGGGATATGTCTGTTCACCAAAAATTATTGTAATTGACTCTCCTAGCTAAAAAGAATTTTTTCCGAACGATTTTGAAATTTTTTTTTCGCCGAAAAATTTCACACCTATTCGAATTTTTTTCTCTAAAGTGGTTAAGATTTCGGGGGTAGGTCTATTCACCAAAAATGGTTGTAATTGGCCCTCGCAACCGAAAATAATTTTTCCAGACTGATTTGAAATTTTTTAATTTAATTTTTTAATAACTTTTGTACACAGGGAAAACTATGGAAAATAACGGAATTTAACAGAGTTACATTGAGAAATATATCTTTCAATCTCTACTTTAATTTTAATGAGAAACAAATAATTATTTTCATTAAATGGGAAATGAATGATTATTTGTATCTACTGGTGTTATATTATAATTCAAAATGACAATTGTTAAAAAATGTGTCCACGAGTGAGACGATTATCATAATTCTTAGATAGTCACGCTAAGTCCATCAGAGACCTCATGATTTCGTTAATAAACTCATTGCCTTAATTGCTTTATTACTCGCTATTTTAGGCCCTCTCTTTTAACCTGTTTAATCTTATGCAGTGGTTGCATGTTATCTTACATTGCCTGAATATAAATTACTTAAGTCTGAGGTCGTTTAAAGAGCCCACGTGTTGTTTTACCTATTTAATTGATCGTATAGCACGCATAAAAAGTGATATTCTTTTTTTAGTATAGTATAGAGCGGAAGTGTTTACTTTTTTCAATTTCGCGGATTCACGCGTTGATATAGAAGATGAAACTCTAAACGAAACTTCTATGAAAATTTACAAGAGACGTTTACAGCGTATCCGCGATAGTAACTGAATTTGCATCGTCTCGAAGAGTGATTTCTACCTGGAAGGTGTGCAACGCGGAAAAGCATGGAGCGTTAAAATCCATGACGAGTGGCGTGTTTCTACCATGCGGATGCCCATATGCAGGCAACAAATTTCAAACAGAAGTGGCAATTACCGATAACCACGTGTAAAATAATATGGTCGGATTAAGCTGGACGCGTAAAACGATACAGCGAGATTCAATTGCGATCATGAAAATAACCAGTGACTGCATTTCCATAATTCACCATGAATAATCAAAACCTGATGTGAATCGGTAAACGAATCTCTGTCCGTCAAAACGACCATTTAAAGATCGAAGAAAAAGTATCTTCTTGGTCGCGAGAAAGTATTTGGAGCCATAAAAAGTGAAAATAAATGTCAAAGTTCAAATTCTGTAGTAGGCTACTGATGATTCATATTTAGTTGAATAACATTGTGACTTTTAAATTATAAGTCTGAAGAAAGTGCACTGTAAATTGTAATATTTCTTGTAATATGTTTGATGTTTTTATTTCGAATATTCTCCAATTAATGTGACAGTGATCGATGTTAGTTCTCAAAATTTAGATTTAATACTATGTTACTGAAAATGAAGCCAGGAGAAAGACTAGGGAAAGTCGTAAACCGTACCACTCGATGGCTTTTTCGCCTCCAGAAGAATTTCTTACATTAATCAAACTGGAATAATAAAGTCAGTAGATCGTTAGAGAAAGGGTGAAAAATTACATGTAAACTGCTTCTATGAATTTATGCTTGTAATGTTCGACCGAAGAAACGATATTTCTTACGCGCTAACTTGACAACTTTATTGTACGTATTGTATGTAAGTGTATATTATAACTTTACTATAGGATTATACTGACAATGAGATAGAAAAAAAATCGTATTCTATCTTCGACTCATGTATACATGTATACTTCCACATATACTTAATAATAAAGACATTCAATGATGAAAATAATAAAAAGGTAGCTTCCAACTAATAATTGTCCCTCCTGTAGCTCTGATTTATACTTCTAGATCACTTAATAGTAACTTTTACATTACATGCAATTTCCTGTTTAAAGTTTAACTGACTGTGTTTTGGTATATGGGACGCAGTGATTCGTAACAAGTTCAAAATAACGAGATGAAAAGATCCTACGCGCACCTTAGTCTTGAGATGAAAGTGGCCATTAATTTCAATCAATTTGAAATGGCAAAATTGACTGGTCTCATTGGGCTCAAGGAGAGAAGCACGGTTTCTTTTTAAGCTACACGATTATTTGGCTGATCATATATTCGTCTCAATTGTCCTTAAAGGACCAATTAATGCGATTTTACCATTTAGGCCGGAGTGATTCAGAGAACACACTTGAAATAACAGGCTGACATTATTTTCAACCCCTTTATCTTTAAATAGAAGTGGCAGTTACTTTCAATCAAGCTCGAAATGATACCATGAAATTGAATGATGGACCGAATCGCTCTGCGAGAAAGTTGAAATTGCGTTTATATTTCTCTTCTGTAATCGATGAACGTTAAACCCACGAAAATTTCAATTCTTATCTCGAAATGAATTTGGAATTACCGCCTCGGAATTGTCAACAGAGTCAATTGAAGCATTTATGGGTAAAATTAAAGAATCGTCTCTTCAGAGGCAAGAATTCAAGGAATACCAATCTTCTTTACCAGTATTTAACGTTAACTTAATTCTTCTGGATTCTTTTGGTTATCAGAATTTGAACCCAATTAAATGTATTCCCCGGCTCGATAATCAATAAAACGCGAAATAATGGCGGTAAATTACATTCAATTTCATGGGCTGTTGTTCGATTAATAAGAAAACCGGTTTCGTCACCGGTTAAAGATATTTCGTCTTTTATTACGTTTTTCAGCGCCCCGCGATATTAATTTCTGCGCCACACAACGGAAAGCTTTTCTTCTCGAGCGTACAAGTATGTTTGCTTTCGAGCCTTCGTTCGCGCAGATAAAAAAGTACTTCGTAGAAATTGCCGTGGCGCCGTGATGAGTTGCAATAGAATTCTCCGTGGTAATACGTGGCAAAACGTATCACGGTATAACACTCATAATACACATTTTCATTGGGATGCATCGTTTCGAACCCTCGAGCTTGATCATTCGATGCATCATATTTCATTCGTGTCAGAGAAATGGTGATTTTGTATTCGCGTTATGTCGGTTGTGATCGCGCGTATCGGAATTCTCTGCAACCTTACATTATTCAAATACCGAATAAAACAATTGTTTTTACGAATATACGTACATAGTTTCATATAACAAAGTAAAAATCAATTTTAACGTTATCGAGATATAAATAAAGGAATTCTGTAGTCTGTCCAGGCATTTGAAAATAATCATTTCTTAAAATTTCCAAAGACTTCTAATTCTCTTTTGTATCGTCAGCTTATCTAAGAACGACTGCAATTTCCTGTACAAGCCATAGAGGCGATCAAAAGATTGATCGAAAAGACGAAGTCGATATTTTCAGGCAGAGTTTATGCAACGAAATCAAATAATTAAAATTCCCACGTGCAAGTTCGCTGACCCCGAAATATTTATCTGCAGCCTCGTGGTTCACGGACCACAGATTAAGAACCGATTAATTCATATCACTCGGATTGAATTTTTATATAATATTGGTTCAGACTAAAAATGCTCTTACGCAACGATTATTCGAACAATGCAGTTAACGCGTAGAATTTCTAAGATGGACGCTTTCCTATCGATTCCCAGTGTCCGCGGTTGATTTCGTAACACAGCCTCTACGAAATTTCGCGGGCAGCCGGAGTCGCGGTACCGGTCTGGCCACCGAGCAATGGCGCAGGACCGCGTACACCGGCGACGTAAAGTCCGTTTTTCGCGTCCGCGAAACTCGATTTTCTATTCCCGAGAGTCGCGCGAAAAGCAAACGAGTACGCGCGGTTAACTGTACCGCGATGATCGTATACGAGTCCCGACGTCCTAGACACGTTAATCGCCGAGAAAGGCAGAGAAACAGAGAAGCCAGAAAACAGAGGAGGGAGGAAGAAAAAAACCGTTACCGAGTCCCCCCTCCCCGATCCCGCCATTACGTTACGCGCCTGGAATCCTGACACTGTGTGACCAGGTGATGCCAGGATGAATGACTAAGAAAAGTAACATCCTGCCACGCGCTTCGTTCCGTTTCGCTCTTCATTTTTGTTATCGGGACTTGGTCTCCACGTCCAAGAACAGGACTCGTGACGTCGTAGCACTACTATGCCTTTGAATTGTTCTCTGGGACTCGACACAATGTTCACACTCGAGGAACCTACGGCTAACAGGTTTCGATCGTTTGCTAGGAATATTTGTGACACGATTTTAAAATTAATATGAAAATGTTGGGCCTGCGACTTTGCACGATACATGTCGAAGATCCAAAAAGAAGTAAGAGTAGTAATAGGTCGATTACTACGAGGAAGAGATACGTCATGTGTTTCCTATGCAAATAGATAGGTCTATCGTGTCTTGCTCCCAATCGCTAAGTTGTTATTAGCGAGAAAATTATTCGATTAATCTGTAAACAGGCAATGTGTGTTCCAGCTTTTCCTGTTCCACGAACTTGACACCGGTTCCTTGAAACCGAGACTTCGAGTAGTGCAGTCGCTGGTCAGACTGGTTTCCCTCGAAATGGCGAAAACGATGACGGGTGTTTGGCAAGATCCGCGTGCTTCGATTGTCACAAAACTACTATTCTTGCGAAATAAGAATGATAAATTTACAAAAAATTAATAAATCTTCGAACACTGGAGTCTTATTTTCGCTTCGATAGTTGATTGAACGATTGCAAGAATCAGAGTTTAGTAAGACTATTTTCTAGAGCAGTTTTTCTCATATATTTAAACAACCAACCGGGAAAATGTTAAAAACTACCATACACTTAATCATTACTACGTTGGTATCTGTGTACTTATAGTTTTGAAATATCATAGTTGGATTATACAGCGTCGCAGTGCAGGTTCTGCTTCATTGCAACACGTGACTGAACCATAAAAAGGAAACGAAAGGTAAAACTAGTCTAGATGTTAATGAAATTCAAGAAACGTTACCTCATTCCCTCTCAGATATCTATTACTCGTATTCGAGCATCAAAAACAACTTATTCTTGTGTCCGTGACAAATTGCTTAACTCAGAACGCCGGCTTTTTGTTATTCCGGGGCGTCGTTTGAATTCGATCGATCCACCCACGCTGTTATAAACGAAGAAACGAGGTCCACCTTACCTCATAAAGTCCAAGATCCTTCGTCCTCGCGACACCGTTTCAACTCATCATATCACTCCACGTGTTTCTTTTTTCCTTCTGTTTTCTCACTATCGGTTCAAAGAACGTTCACGTATTCACTGAACCTCATGACGGACCGGCACAGACTCGATACAACAATCCCGGTTTCTATCCTCTCGGTTTCATGAGTCGTCGTTTCGGAAAAGAACCGATGTCTGCCAGCCAATGGACAGGTCTACACTGCATCCTAAGGAGGTATGCGGCCTCTGCTATGGGAGTGGAAGGAATGGGAGAGAGAGAAACAGCTCGCCGAAGGAGTGACTACAGTCCGTGCCCCGTAACTGCGAGCGAAAGGGGGGCGAACCTTTTTGATTCTTTTGTACCTCGACGTGCCAGGTGAGTCTTTCGTGGTTCCATCATGGCCGGGATCGTGCGTAGATGTGGCACGGAAGGGATCAAGATCGTTCTGACTTAGGAATTTCGCTCGCCTGGCACCGATTGGAGCAATTTTCCGTTTCAACCGATCGCTCGGACTGACACGAATTTCAAACTCGAGCGTTCCGCACAGACCTCGTACCAGCAATCGAGTAAATGGTACTTGGAATTTTGTAGGATCGTAGGAAAAATGAAAATTGCTTTCGCGACGTTTGTTTTCCTTTTTATCCGGACAGCTTGAGTATTAATACGAAATTTATTTGTTTATTTATTATACGAGATATACATTGTCTGAAGTCAGAGGTTACGATCGATTAATCTACCATAAATCTTGCAGAAAAAATAACGAATTAAAAAATACTTCGAGCATATTAGAAGACGTTTACATTCACGATCGAATTTATGTTGAAGTCTTGGTATAAATTATAATTCATTTTTATTTTAAAATGGTATAATTCGTTTAGCTGATAACAAACGTTGCGAATAAATAGCTATAGAGAATACTATACTATTCGAATAAAATTCTGCCCAACCCTGGTACGAATAGGACGCCAGAGGAATGAGAATGCGACGCCTTTGTCGAAACATCAAATCACATGCGTAGAATCGCCATTGTCGTCATCTAAAAATAGCCCAAGGTTTGGAAAGATCGTCGTCTATTGGATAGTAAGGGTACTAACAAATAAATCAATCGAATACAAACGCTACTGATTGCAATAATCGCGAAGTTCAAAAGTTTCGATTCGTAAGCTGAGATAAGGAGACGGGTTCAAGATTTAGAAAGTTTGGAATAAGCATGTCTCGCGGAATTAAATCACGGTAATCGTCATCTCGAAGAGGTTCAGTGTCCTCTTTAGCAACCGGACTCGTATTTAATGCTATTGTAGCCCCATTCTCATCGCTCCGGCTGCTCTTGCGAGCACGCAACAATTCAGACGTGATTCTCATAGGAAGAGCTCCGTTGAACGACTAGTTGTCACGGGAGGATCGCGGTGTATCCTACATTAGCCAGTCGTTTCGCGTTTAATTCGTACATACGTAATTTATCCTGCAAACCGTGTTTTATGAAACGAGTTTGCCGCTCGCACACGCGACGGACGCTGGCAACCTGGAAGCACCGAACCGTCCTACCGGAAACGCCGCACGACACACTTACGGAAGCCACCTGAGGCGCATACTTACGCGTAGAGCTTCCTCGCATCCCGCGGGACGCGTGCACTCGCTCGATAATCCGAGACGAGTAACCAGCAATTCCGCACGAGCGTTTATCGTCGTTTCGTGGGCAATGTTTCAGTGCATTCCTTTACGATCGCCGATAAGAACGCTGCGTGGAACGAGGAAGACACGCGTTCCTGGAAAACCTGAGCCTCCGCGCGGGATAACGAGGCTCCCTCGGCATTTCCGCCGCGAAACGGCGCAATTAAGGACGATCAATAAAATCGAAGATGAGAGCAATTGCGAAAGACCGTAAAAGTTGTGTAATTGACGCGTAGGTCTAGATTTGTGTAAACGGTGGGAGCGCGACGCGTGGAATTTCTGACTCTCTTAGACGAAGATATTTCACTCTTATAAACCCCTCGAATTGTCCAGGAAAACGATATTTCGTTTTTGGAGGATTGGAGTTAAAATTCGAGAGTCCTAGATTTATTTTCTTTAAATGTCACACGACTCGTCTGGTATGTTGGAAACTCGTTCGTTTAAAAACTATGTGGCTGCTTGATTGATACGTGTTGATGCATTATCATGCATAAATCACTCGTGCCTTTCAACGTCTAATGGAACGTCTTCCAATAATTCATGCGAATTCAATGAATTGACATAAGATGAACCTGTTAATTTCTCATCAAGGAAAATAGAATTGGTTATGTTATATACTTTGAATTCCTTGCATTTCTTGATTTTCTTCTAACAGCGAGTATTATGGAAATTAACCGTTCCATCTCTGACGAATCCAGCTTCGTTGGTAAATGAAATAAGTGGCGGAGCATGTTGATCGGCGATAGACATCAGCAGAAACCAACGAGAGTTAACTTCGTGAGGTAGATCATCTTCTTCGAGTGGCTGTATTTCTTGAACACGGTACGAATGAAGCTGATAATCTCAAAAAATTGTCCACACTGTCCTCTGTGTCCGACGTACTTCATTGCTGCTATTAACAGTCGTGATATTCGCTGGTTCGTTGGCTTTTAAGCGAACTTGTATTCGAGATGCATTCGTATAATACTTAAGATATTTTCTTAATTGACAAACATCCGCTGGGGAAATCGTCTACATACGAATGTCTTGCTTCGACTAAATTACATCCAACCAGTTCATACGTTGAACGAGTAATTACAATTTTCTACTTTATTTACTTATTTACAATCGTTTTAAACGTAACAAATTCCAGAAATTCCAAGTGCTTGTAGCAAGAGAATGATGGAGATTGACTCGTAGAACAAGATTAAGAGACTTCAAGATGAATTTTATACACACAGTTTTGTTGTAATTAGTTACAGAACTGTTTTTATTCTAAATATTTCTTTGTTGAAAGAAATTCTTTGTTTGAAAAATTTTTTTCTAAATTAATCTTAACCCTTCAAATTTGTTTTGACCGTGGACTAAAAGCTACACCTGTCCGGTTAAGAAAAATATTTCAGCTAACAGATATCGTGTATCACCTGTGACTTCAGCGCCATGTTCAACGTGACATAATTATTCGACGTATACAGTGTCACTGTCTTCAGTGGAGTTTCAAAGTCACCTAAATGAAAGTATACGTTCCCATTCGAAGAAATGAAAACGACCTCCAAATGTATAAATATTCACGTTAGAAATGTATAATTCCTTAATGTTTATTTCGTTTTAAATTGGGATCGAAACAGTGTCTAACAAAACGCCTGAAATTTCGCAAACGAAATGTTCCATTGTTTTGAAATTCTTATTTCCAAAGTACATCGATTATCAACTTTGTAGAATCTTTGATAGCTCCGCTAATTATTAAAGATTATCGTGGTCTTACGAAACACAATGATGCACAGTTTATTACTTTCTTCAAATTTAAACCGGTGCTCAACAATGCTGATCGTATCGCGGTCTGCATCCTTGTAATGCATCGTTCGGGAACAAGGAAACGGAGCTGCATTCAGCTGGGTGCAACGCATAATGCTGAACGCGTTCGCTAAAAACCACACACGTGCGCGAGCAACGAGCATGACGCCGCATAGTCGTCTGAAATCACGAAAATGTGACAAAAACTACAAGATCTAGAATTCTGTAATTAATTTCTGCACGATTATTTTAAACCTCTAATCATACGTAAGTTGAATTCTATTTATTGTCCACTTTTTTTCAGTGAAATCTTTCTGAAATGAAGAAATATAGCCAGTATGATCACTAAGAATCTCAAGATGAGGATTACTAGTAAATAATAATAACAAAAATAATACCAAATACATTTCTGAAAATAAACTGCAAATTTACAGTCACAAATGCCGAGAAATTCAATTATTATACTCTATGCTGGAATGCAGAACAATAAAACTGAACTTCGAGTAGAATTAAACCCGGAAATCCACTGAGGATTAACACTTGTATCGAATCGATGAACGTTCGTGCAAATTTTCGTCATGGTTGGTGCCTGGTAGTTAATAGTGTTCCCTCGTCAAAGTCAAGCGAGCATGTTCGCGCCCAGGTCGGTTTCATCTTGCGGTTTTTCTCACAGACCAGGAATCCAGACGCTCGTAACTAGCGTCGGTTATAAAAGAGCAAAGTTCGACCGCCGACGGGCTACCCTACAGCCACGTTTTTTTTTCCGTTCCTTTGCCAGTCTGGAGAACGAATGGAGACGGAAAAAGGCAGCTCCGTGGATCGTGAAAAAGGACGAAGTCATTGCGGAACGCTGGAAAGTGAGAGGGAAAGGACGTCGCTGAAAGGACAGAAACGAGATTATTCGCAACTTCTTCCTTCATGCTACTTTGTTTTCACAGGACGCTTTTACAGATTATTACTTTTGGAGCAACATTCTGGATTTGGCTAAAACTTTTTATACATGTTTAAGAAGATTCGATAAAATATTTGGAGAATAATTCTAATTTTTCTTTGAATCTTCAAATTCACAAGACGCTTAAGGGGTTGACGATCAAGTTTTGAGTTGAAGATAATTTCAGAGGGGATTACTCAATTCTAATTTTTGGAGCAACATTCTGGATTTGGTTTAGAATTTTCATACGCGTCTTTAACGATGTTTGAAAACACCGTGGAGGATTAAAGAAGATGTTCGAAGAATAATTCTAATTTCTCTCGATCAAGTGGTTCGATCACCGAAGTGACGCTCACTTTTTATGAAACGCCCTGTAGAAGCTGTCTGGAAAAATGTACTTGAAGAGAGTGAAAGGTTGACAACTGACATTGGAGGATTAAAAAGTGATGTCCATCGCGAGCAGTTCGGTTTGGCAAGTGTTCGCGGTGCACCGAGGGTACAGCGAGCGGCGAATGGAAGGATCCGTGACTCGAGGAAAGGTCGTACAAAACAGGATGGCGGAAAAGAGGACATCGAAGGAGGAAGGAGAGGAAGAGAACGAAGTGGCCAGAGAAGGACGTTGCTGGAAAGACGAGAAGGGGACGTGTACAGTTACCAAAGGCCGAGGCGAACAGCTCCACCTCCGACGATAAAGTATCG